TGAGGAGTTATTATGTTTCAAGGATATAGAAAAAAAGAGCAATTAAAGAAAATAAAGAAATAGAAAATGAGATAGTGATATCAAAGAAGCCAAAAAATCCAATAGGAGTTTGGTCACCTGTAATATGCTGCAGAGATTAAAATAAGAAAAGGACTGATGGAGCTACCATTTGACCCAGCAATTCCTCTCCTTCGTCTATACCCAAAGGACTTAAAAACAGCATACTACAGAGACATAGCCACATCAATGTTTATAGCAGCACAATTCACAATAGCTAAACTGTGGAACCAACTTGGATGCCCTTCAGTGGATGAATAGATAAAGAAAATGTGGCATATATACACAATGGAATATTACTTATTAATAAAAGAGAATAAAATCATGGCACTTACAGGTAAATAGATGGAGTTGGAGAAGATAATGATAAGTGAAGTTAGTCAATCCCCCCAAAACAAATGCTGAATGTTTTCTCTGATGTAAGAAGTCTGACTCATAGTGGGGTAGGGAGGGGGAACATGGGAGGGCTGAGGATGTGAGGGAAAGGGAGGGGGCATAGGGTTAGCAGTGATGGTGGAATGTGATTAACATCATTATTCAAAGTACATGTATGAAGACATGAATTGGTGTGAACATACTATATATACAAACAGATATGAAAAATTGTGCTCTATATGGGTAGTAAGAATTGTAATGCATTCCGCTGTCGTGTATTTAAAAATAAAATCAATTAAAAATTAGAAAAATAGACATCATTAGTTGCTTTACTTGGTTTCCATTAGATGATATTCATTAAATTGTGTAAATTGCCTTAAAATATGTTGATTTTAAAATTTCACATACTCAAATTTGCTCCTTTTCATGTGTGGTTTGAGGATAGACAAATGTAGTTATATAAATAACTTTGTGTAACTACCACCACAATCAAGATCAGAGTAGTTCCTTCACCCCCTTGGCACACCACCCGATGCCCGTTAAGGTGCCTCTTTGTAGTATGCCCTAACCCCTGGCAACCATTAATCTATTCCATTCTTTATAGTTTTGCCTGAGAATGCTATAAATAGAATCACCTTATATAGCATTTTGTATCTTGCATCTTTCACTTACAATGATATATTTGGTGGTTCACCCATGTTGTTGAGTGTATCAATAAATCATTCCTTTTTATTGCTTAGTAGTGAGTTGCCTTACTCAACTCCCAACCCCTGGAAACTAATGATATAAATTATTTCCCTGTAGTTTGCCTTTTTCAGTGTCTTGTAGACAAATCATCCAATATTTAGCACTTGGGTTTGACTTCTTTGAGTTAGCAAAACGTTTTTAACATCCATCTATATATTCTCAGGTATCAGTAGTTTTCTCATTTTTATTGATGATTAATATCAGTTTACCAGATCAAAGACACATGGACTCTTTCCAATATATGACAGTTATGTATAAAACTGCTTTAGTCATTCATATACAGATTTATTTGTTAACATGCATTTCCATTTTCCTCAGGTGAATGTTCTTCAGCTGTTTTCTGACCTCCATGATTTTTCATTGAGGAATCTGCAGCCAGTCAATTTGATGTTCCCTTTATTTAAAACTTTTCTCTCATTTCAATATTTTTTCTCCCATTTTTCTTTTGGTTTAGAGTAGCTTAATTAAGATATATCTTTGGGGCTGAGACTGGCTCAGCAATAGAGTGCTCGCCTAGAATGTGCGAGGCCCTGGGTTCGATCCTCAACACCACATAAAAATAAATAAATAAAGGTATTGTGTCTAACTACAACTAAAAAATAAATATTTAAAAGAAAAGATATGTCTTTGGGTGGTTTTCTATAACTTTGTCCTGTTTAGGGTTCTTTGATCTTAAATCTATAAATTTAGTACATTTTCAGTTATTAATGCTTTTTTAAAAGAGCTTTATTGTGATGCAATTCATATATCATATAATTCACCCATTTAATATATAATCTGATATATTTATTATATTAACAAATGTTTGCAAACATCAAATTTTTCATCACATCCAAAATGACCATTGTACTATTTTTTTATTACCTTCATCTCCACATATATCAGCCTTGAACAACCTCTGTTTTCTATTTCTATAGATTTCCCTATTCTCAGCATTTCATAGGAACAGGAACATCTTTCTTTAAGTAATTTTTTTAGTATGATTCTATTTTTAATGGGATACTAATGACATGGATCTAGACCATTTAATATTGTTCCATGTGTCTGAGGCTCTGTTAATTTATTTTTTATGCATATATGTATTCATGTGCTATCTTGATTAGTGATCAATTAAGTAATGAGCGTATCCAATGCCTTAAACTTTTATCATTACCTTATGGTGAGTTATTTCAAATTCTAATTATTTTGGGACAGAGAATGAAGAAAATGTTTGTTATATTCACATTGCTGAACTTATTATCAGAACTTATTTCTGCTATCTAAAAATAACATTGTACCTGTAAAGGATCTGTCCCCAAACCCCTTCCCACTATTTCCCTCAGTCTTGGATAACCACTATTTTGCTTTGAATTTTTATGAGATTATCTTTTTAGATTTATATTCTGTATATAAATGAGATTGTGCAGTGTTCTTCAGCATCATCTGTGTTGTTGCAGTTGACAGAATTTTATGATTGTTATGGCTGAATAGTATTCTATTGTGTATAAATACTGCATTTTCTTTATCTATTCACCTGTTAATGAACATTTAGGTTGATTCCACATCCTGTGTATTGTAAATAGTGTTGCAGTAAACAAGGGAGTACAGGTGCAGGTGGGTATTATTTGACATTTTATTTTTATTTCCTTTGAGTATATACCCAGTGTGGTATTTCTGGATTGCATAGTAGCTTGTTTGATCATTTTCACTGTGTTCATATTGGATTGTTTCTGTTTATCTATCTTCAACTTTACTGTATCCACTTCTATCTGCATTCTTTTATTGATTATATCCAGTATTTTTTTTTTTTTGTTTCATATATTATGATTTTGGGATCTGGAATTACTTACATTGATTCTTATTTACTTTCTATGTATCTGCTGAGAAGTATTTTTCATTACATTCAGATATGTTTTGTTTTATTAAAAAAAAAAATCTTAGTTGATACAGCTGTTCTAAAATCCTTGACAGATATTTGACTATGAGAGGCATCTTGGAATTGATCCATTAGTGTTTGTTTCTTTCATAAAGAAAATTACCTTGTTGGGTTCATACTCCTAAGTTCTGTCGTCCCCTCTTTGGATAATTGTTACAATGTTAAGTTAGTTTTCAGAGCATTTGGGTATTATTGTGCATTTGCTACTGAGTGCACTTCCTAATTAACTTGTTGGTCTAAAACTTGAGCAATGGCTTATAGTGCAGGTCAGTTTTCAAATCTTTTTTTTTTTTTTTTTTTGGTATTCTTTGGTTCTATTTGCTGCACATGCATTTTGTTGTTGAACCTCACATGTATTAATTCATACAAATAATTAGGAGATATCTTTCTGCCATTCTGTTTTTCCCATTATTTCTTCCAAATTATTTGTTTCTCAGAGGCCCTGATGCTGTTCTTCTGGCAAGCAATATGAGTTTGTCTCAAAGTCTTAGTCTTTCTGCCCTTGGAATGAAGTGAAGAAGATAGTGAAAAAACTAACAGGGATTACTTCCATGCCTTTCCTATTATAGAATCCTCTTTTCCTGTTTCCTCTCCTCAGAGAGACAGGTTCTCTTTTTAATGGAGTTTACCTTAGATTAGGAATGGGAGTTGAAAAGAAGACTGTCATGGGAAATTCTTAGCTTCTCCTTATGTTCAACACCTCAGAAGTGCATTTTTCCCCCCTGGTTCTGTGTCTACAAAGTAGGATTTCTCTGGGAAATGTTGTTCATGTACAGTAGAGATCCATGGCTTAGCCTGTCCTTGGGTCAATTTCAGGGGGATAAAGGTGAAAAATAAAGTCAGGGAACTCATCAGTTATTTTTCAAATTTTGATCTTTTTTTCCAATTCTGTTGCTTAGTTTGTAGAGTTCTTAGGTAGTTTCCTTTTGTTTTATGCCTAGGGTTTTAGGTATAATCAGGGGAGAGATAGGTGTTGTGGGCTTATTCCATTTGACTCTCACCAGTAGCTCTGTTTAATTTACTTCATTTTTTTCTACTTTTTATTGGACTCTTTGAAGTGGACAATGATAAAATTCCTTTTTTCCCCAGACCATTTTGCTGTTTCAAACATCTTATGTCTGTGATTGGCAGATTTTTTTCATAAATGGCCAAATAATAATCCTAGGCCTTGCAGACATAGGATCTCAGTCACAACTGTTCAGTTTTGCTGTTTAGAAACAATTGGGTGTGGCTGTGCTCCAGGAACATTTTATACAGAAACAGACAGCAGGCCAGGTTTGGCCTATGGATCATAGTTTGTAGACCCTTTATCTAAGTTGTTTATATTTACTTTTCCCTTAATTAGTGATTGAAGAATATGTTTAATTATATACTGAGATGTGTATGTTGAAATAATTTCTTTTCATGGCCATTTATGTCTATTTTCTGTAGTATATTCTTTCTTCTGTGTAGTAGTTTATATGTTTAAATAGAACTCATATGATGGAGTGGAATTTATAACAGTTTAATAATGTAAAATTATTTCCATTCTAATTTTCTTGAACATATCCAAGCTAGATTTCTTCTGTGACACTTTTTTTATGTCATAGACATTTTCTTTAGGACAATCTTAATGAAAATACATAATTAATGTACTTAGTGTATGATCATATGTCCTAGCAAAGTCCTAAACAATATGAAATGAAACATAAAGCTCTGAAAAATCAAGGATTCTTAAGGTCAATCTGGGAACCATATTAGTAGTTTTTCTTTTCTAAGTACCTCCTATGTGTCCTTTGTCCTCCTGTTTTTCAGTAAGTGCGGGCCTTAGTAGATTGTGAAGGGAAATGCCTAGGGTTATATATCTCTTAGTTATTACTCTTGGTTTAATATTCCTGACTATCAATTTTTGAATGATGTTTTTCAGGTAAATGGTCTTAAAATGGTTGATGAGCCAATGGACGAGGGAGAAGCAGATTCTTGCGATGTAAGTAATCATGTTGATTTTTTAAGCAATATTTTTAGCATATAAAGAAAGAGAATAATGGGAAAGGAAAAAAGGGTCCTATAAGTTAATGATAGTTAATCAGGTAAGTTTTTTAATATATTTATTTTAGTTATAGTTGGACACAAAACTTTTATTTTATTATTTTTATGTGGTGCTGAGGATCGAACCCAGCACCTCACACAGGCTGGGCAAGCACTCTACCACTGAACCACAACCCCAGCCCTCAGGTAAGTTTTTAATAAGTAAATGCAATTATTAATAATCAACTGCAGTTAAAGTAGAAGACAGATTTTTCCATCAGAAATTTTTGTGACTGAAATGTTTTTAATAAACAAATTTTTTGAAAAAAAGTTACATGCCATAGGTCCCATTTTAAGTGTAATAGGTGAAAGATTTAATTGACAGTACATAAGTAACTGTATTACTAAATATAGAATCATCTGAAATAAACTGAATAAGATTATCTTTAATATCAGGGTAGAAAAGAGCACTTATTTGGAAATATTGAACTCTAAGAATAGTCTGAAGTAATTTAAAATCCATTTTCTGGATGTCAGAGAGAATTAAATTTAAATTATTTCAGAAGTTACTATTTTAAAGACTAGCTAATTAATTCTGACTAATGTAGGCATTTCCATTTATGCTGTAATTTTTATGGTTGTCATTTCTGTAGATATTTTCACATAGTTATAGATTTTTTAAGTTGGAATGAGCCTTGAATATAGTATTTTGCAATATTTTCATTGCACAGATTAGTATATTGATATTTGGAGAGATTGTGATTTATACTACAGGATAAAATTAGTAAGTAATAGAATCAAGACGTATGATACAGTGTGCTTCCTCTTAGTTTAGCTATATGTTGTGTACACCCCAAGAAGTAAGGGGAATACCACTGTTTTCTCATTTAGTTGTGTATAAAATTAACTTTTATTTCTTTTTCCCTTGTAAAATGTGTCTTTAAGTTAATTTATCTAACATAGAAGCCAGAAGTTGGGTTTGTTCAACACTCTCCTTTGAAATATTATATGTAACTATCTCTGTAAACTGTGATCATGAAACACTTTCAATTGACAAGCAGTATAATGTTGTCATTTTAGCTTTTGCATTTTACTTAATAACATTTTAATTTTTAATATAATCAAATATTAACTCTTAGCAAAATCATCTAAATATTTATATACAGATCATATGGGCTATGAGGCATAGAAATATTTATGTTGCTACTTTATAAAAGGAGTTTAAAAAGCTACAAAAAGCACTAGAAAAGACTAATTTAGGGGCTGGAGTTGTGGCTCAGCAGTGGAGTGCTTGCCTAGCACACATGAGGCACTGGGTTTGATCCCCAGTACCACATAGAAAAACTAAATAAACAAAGGTATTTTGTCTGTCTGCAACTAAAAATATTTAAAAAAGAAAAGAGCGCCTTATTATATTTTAGCATTAATAAATTAATGAGGAAACAACTAGCGCTACACCACAGGAGGATAAAAAGTGTGTGTGTGTGTGTATGTGTGCATATGTGTGCTTGTGCATGCACTTTGTGTATGTATACATGTATATATCTTTATATGGGAAGTCAAAATAAATTCATAACCATTAATGTAGAATGACTCATATATTCACTTTTCTAATTTTCGCTTAAAATTAGGAAGTACACATTTTATTGAAAAGATAGTAAAAATATATATTGTTAGATGCTAATATGATTTATTGCATGCCATCAATTTAAATAGCTAGAAGGTAGATTTCAAAGTTTTAGAGAATAGAATTAGAAACACTTTCAGAAATTTGATTAATTCATGGCTGGACTTAAAAAGAAATACTTTTGGTGTGTGATGGTTTTGTGTTACAGTTTTTATCAGTAAAACTATATGAGTGAAAAACACTAACCATTTAAATTTATCCTTTTTTTTTCTTTTTTGGTACCAGAAATAGAACCCATGCACACTTAACCACTGAGCCACATTCCAAGCTCTTTTCTATAATGATGAGGGTCTCCTTCCACCATCCAAGCTCTTTTTTATTTTTATTTTTTGAGACAGGGTCTTGCTAAGTTGCTGAGGCTGGCTTTGAACCTGGTGATCCTCCTATCTCAGTCCCTAGCCACCGGGATTATAGGTGTGCATCACCAGACTCAGAATAAATTTATCCCTTTAAAAATTGTTTTCATTTATAAGATTTTTTTGGTTGTCATTGCTTATTCCAATGTGATGCTCATAACTGTTTGTTTTTATTGGCTTTTTTTTTTGTTCTTGTTGTAAAATAGTATAGGATTGTAAAAACTGCTCTGTGTTACACGTTGTTTAAACAGTGATCTTTAGATTTGAACATTAGGAACTGGTAATGTAGCTTGGTGATAGAGAAGGGGCATTGCATGCATGAGGTCCTGGATTCAATCCCCAGCATTGAAAAATAAGTAGATACACTAGTTGAATTTTGTTTTATCTGTGTGACTTGATGCTGTTTTCTGATTGACTGATTTAGACAACTAATCTGCTCCATTTCAACTTGTGTTACTGTAGACTTTCATAGTCATTTGGTCATTTTTTTTCAGTTAAAACAAGTAAAATTAAATCAGATGTTTCCTGGGCTCCATATATATTTAACATATGATCAGCAAAGCTGAAATATATGCCAATTATAATTTCCATATATCTCTATCATGAGCCATTTTCTATTTTTCAAAACAACCTTCACATTGGGAAAGAAGTAACAGGTCACAGATAAAAGATATCTGATATAAAATTTTACCACCTAGTCTCCTAACAATATCAAGTTTAGAAAAAGTATGTTACCATTCATCTATTTTAATATAAGATGGCTGATATGAGTTAATTTCTTATATTTTTTCACAATAAGTATATCTGTCTCCTACATTTGATAATTTATGATCCATTTATATTTACATTTAAAGCTTTATGGATCTGGGCACATGCCTGTAATCCCAGTGTCTTGGGAGGCTGAGACAAGAGGATCACGAATTCAAGCCAGCCTCAGCAACTTAGCAAGGCACTAAGCAAGTTAGCAAGACCCTGTCTCAAAATAAGTTATAAAAGAGTTGGGAATGTGGCTCAGTGGATAAGCGCCACTGGGTTCAATCCCTGGTACCAATTTTTTTTCCCTTGAAATAATAGACATAATTTTGATATCAATATCTTAGGATTTCCAAGGAAGATTAAATTAATGGTTATTTATTTTTTTGGTTACTTTTTTTTTTTACTCCATTAGTGCAAGGTCAGCAAGATATTTAGTCTCTTAATTTATTTATAGTTTACTACCCAGAAATACAAATGTTACCTTTAACTGAAAATGTATAGTAAAATAACTAATTTCCTAATATTTTAAGGCCTATTTTTTAATTTTAAAAATTTATTATTATTATTATTATTATTATTATTATTATTAATTATTAGTATTATTTGGCAGTGCTATTGAATCCAGGGGTTCTTTGTGACTGAGCTAGATCCCTAGCCCTTTTTATTATTTATTTTGAGTCTTGCTGTATTTTCAAGGCTGGCCTTGAACTTGGAATCCTCCTGAGTAATTGGGATTACAGGCATATGCCATTGTACCTGGAAAAGCCATTCTTGATATATGCCCCTTATAAGGATTAAAAAAAATACAGCAGAATGAAAATTCTTCAAAAAACTAGGAATGGAACCACCATATGACCCAGTTATCCCACTCCTTGCTATATATCCAAAAAACTTAAAATGAGGATACTACAGTGATGTTCCACATCAGTGTTTATAGCAGCACAATTCACAACAGCCAAGCTATGAAACAAACTGAAGTACTCTTCAACAGATGAATAGACAAGGAAAATGTCACACACACACACACACACAATCACAATGGAGTATTCTCAGCCATAAAAAAGAATGCCCTTACGGCATTTGCCAGTCAATGGATGGATCTAGAGGCTGTCATGCTAAGGGAAATACTCCAGTCTCCCAAAGTCAAAGGTTGAATATTTTCTGTGATATGCAGAAGTTAATCCAAAATAATGGAGGGGAATAAAAAAGAAATGGGAAAAAAGGGAGAGGAAATTTCATCAAAATAGAGGGAAGATCATTAGAGTAGATGAAAGGATTGAGGAAGACAAAGAAGGGGTGGGAAAACAGAAGAACAGTGGAATGAGTCTGACCAAATTGTTGTATGTGTATACATAGATGTCGAATGGTGGGTCCTGGCATTGAGTATATCCACAAGACACTGATTAAATAAACAACAAAAAAGTAAACTGTAAATGGTTTTAAGAAAGATTAGTGCAATAGAGGGAGATGAGCTGGGAGTGGGAATTGGGGGAGGTACTGATGAATGAAATGGGGCCAGTGGTGTTCCATGCTTTTGTGGTTATGTCAGGGTGTATCCTAGTCTTATATTTATCTGAAAGAAATACATTTTAAAAAATTTAAAATGATCTTCTACAAGTTGGTTTTACTTAGTTAAACTCGTGTGGGGTATTAAGAAGGTAGTATTTCAAGTATGGGCTTGAACCTTTTCCTATATTATAGATTTTTCTTCTTGTATTTGCCTTTCCATTCTGATGGGCACTGTAGCCTTGCCATTCTTCAATATTTTTTCTGTTGCAATGCTTGTATTTGTTTTCTATTCATTTCTCTTTCTTTAAAATTTAGAACCCTGTACTACAAAATGCAAAATTCACTGATGAGTATTTATTTTGTTTAACATAAAAATGATTGGGCAGTGACTACAAGGTAGAGTTAATGCTGCCCAATGAAGTAAACAAAGATAAATATTATAAATAAGTTCAGTAGCTTTAGTTTTTAAATAGCTGTTCAAAGTTCTCAGTTGATCCTCATATAACAGATTTGAAATAAATAGAGCAGATATTGTTTCCATTTTATTGATGAAGAAACTAACGAACTTATAAGAAAAATAAACTTTCCCAAGTAGAAATTAGTTTGCCACACTTCTTTGCTTTCCATTCTTTAATACAAAAGTTTGCAAAG